CTTACAGAGCTCATGGGCAGATCAACCCACACATGAGCTCCCCCTGCCACATCGAGATGATCCTCCCTGAAAGGAGCAAATTGTTCCTAAGCTGGAAGAAGAAGTCACACAGAAAAAAAAGATATCCCAGAAGAAGCTGAAGAAACAAAAATTTATGGCATGGGAATAAAGTAAGCTTAAAATAAATGTAGATAAAAGTTTAAAAAATATATATATATATACACATTTCCCTTAATTTTTTTCAACACTTAAGATGTCCCAGGAACTTAAGCATTTTCATGCATTTATAGTTAACTCTCCTCATAACTCTATGAGGTAGTACCCTTACATTTCTTTTATTAAGGTTCAGTCATACCAGTTTAGGATGGAGAGACAGAGTGAGAACAAGGTCTCTATGAAAAAATACGTAAGACAATGCTCCTGACTTCCTTGAGGATCTTTGGTTAAAGCATAAAGAAATAGAAAAACTATTTTAGGTAACTTGCACTACAACAAAGCACACTGTTTTAGAAGCATAGAGTCTAGGCAGCATCAGGACTAGAGTGAGGATGGTGAGGCATTTGCCTTGGGTGTGAAATTTAAAGAAAATCCAAACCTCTTCCTCATCAAATCGCTCACCAGAGGGTGTGTGAGCTTGACAGAGATGCAGAAAGAGAGAGGGAGAGGGAGTAAAGCACCCCCCCACAATGGGACTTGGTTTATTGCTTTTCCATTTCTCCATTCTGTTGAGATTTGGGGTACACAGGCACCACGCCTGGCATGTTTTTCAAGCTGTTGAGGCCAGAATTCAAACCATGTGGTCAGCCATGTGGGATCTGGCTTCCTTAACCAACAGGCTATGGAATTGGCCTGTGAATAATATTTGTATGCAATATTTAAAAGATCAAAATAAAGCAAAATATCCATGAAAACCAAAATGTCATCATTTAAAACAAAGATAGAACTTGACCCCCTCACTGTTTTTTCCTCTAATCTTGGCCCTGTTCTAGAGCCCAAGTATCTGGTTCACACAGCAATTCTGTCATTCACTACTCATGTGATGTTAGACAGGTAGTTAATCTCTTTATACCTCAGTTCCTTAATCTGTAGAATGGAAATAATAATGATATTTACTTCATGTGGATGTGTGCCCCAAATCCAGAAAAAGAATGGAGAAGGGATTACAGTGTGGCCATCCCTGGAAGGGGTGGAGGAAAATGATTTTTGACTCCTCCCCCCCATCTCCAGTGAGTGCTTGTGCTCTACAGTAAAAACTGAAGGAAAAAAAAAAGGTATTTACTTCATAAGGTTGTGAAGATTAGACGGGCCTGGCAGTTGGTAGATGCTGAGTAAACATTGGCCGTCATCCTGAGAGTGTGAGGGCTCTTTCTATTTGTTGACATACTTGAAAGGCCTTGACTGTGTGTCTTCTACCAGGGCTCTATTCTTTGTCATGTACATATAGCACCATGTATCAGCCTTTCCTAGAGAAAGATTAAAAGAATGAATTGAAAACTGTAAAAACTTGTCTTGAGAGAAGCTAATTTTTTTGGCAAGTCTATTCATTCCATCTGACCAACGAGTTGAGGGTGCATACTTTGAGTACTTCCTGAAGCTGGTTCTTCTTCTTTTAAAGTTTATTTACTGAGAGACAGAGAAAGGTGCATGCCCAAAAGGATGTTCACATTGCAATCCAGCCTCGTCTTAGCCTGGATCATGAGGATGTGTGGTACAGTGACACTCCAGGAAGCAAAGGAGGCCCTCCCATGTGGGTCCAGTTGTGCTACCACTTCACCAACTTTTGGCCCTGAAGTAGCATTCTGAAGATAATACTGGAAAGGCTTTGAATGTTGACATCATTGGTAAGTATATTGTTTCCCAGGATGACTAGAATTAACACAAAAATCCTATTAACTGGGTGTATTGTGATTAAAAGCAAAGCAAACAAACAAACAAAAAACCAAAACCAAACCAAAACAAAAACCTACATCAGAGGCGCCAAGGTGAAGTGCTCCTGGAAACAAACTGGTTTCAAAGTAGGATTAGCCGGTCACCCTGTTGTTTCCCCTCTTGTACATCCCCGGATGTCTATCAGAACAACGTTTCTTGTATTTAGTGGTTCACATTTTACCTCCCCAGTTGACTCTCTGGGAACAGGGGTCTGGGCTCGTTCATTTTTGAATACCCAACACCAAGCACTATGTCAGGCACTAGCCATTACACTTATTTAATGAATAAATTAATAAATGAAATTTGGGACCAGCAGTTGGCCTGATGGCTATGTCGCTGGACTTCCATGTGGTTGACTGAGGTTCGAGTCCTGAACCTGGTGGTTTAAACTTTCGCTGGCACGCGTAAGTGCGTGCCCAAGATCCTGAGAGGAGAATGGAGAAGGGATTGCGGTGTGGCCATCTCCCCGGAGGTGGGGGGGTGGGGGAGTGTGATTTCTCGCTTTCTGTCTCTCTTTCTGGCCAGCGCACGAGCCCTATAGCAAGAACCTCTCAAAAAAAAAAAAAAAAATGAATTTCAGTTCTGGTACATTAAGCCCAAAGGTCTTCTTTTTCAAACAGTATGGTTGAGAGGCAGGAGGGAAAGTATCTGCTCTTACCACCGTGGCATAGAGTCTAGGCAGCATCAGGACTAGAGTGAGGATGGTGAGGCATTTGCCTTGGGTGTGAAATTTAAAGAAAATCCAAACCTCTTCCTCATCAAATCGCTCACCAGAGGGTGTGTGAGCTTGACAGAGATGCAGAAAGAGAGAGGGAGAGGGAGTAAAGCACCCCCCCACAATGGGACTTGGTTTATTGCTTTTCCATTTCTCCATTCTGTTGAGATTTGGGGTACACAGGCACCACGCCTGGCATGTTTTTCAAGCTGTTGAGGCCAGAATTCAAACCATGTGGTCAGCCATGTGGGATCTGGCTTCCTTAACCAACAGGCTATGGAATTGGCCTGTGAATAATATTTGTATGCAATATTTAAAAGATCAAAATAAAGCAAAATATCCATGAAAACCAAAATGTCATCATTTAAAACAAAGATAGAACTTGACCCCCTCACTGTTTTTTCCTCTAATCTTGGCCCTGTTCTAGAGCCCAAGTATCTGGTTCACACAGCAATTCTGTCATTCACTACTCATGTGATGTTAGACAGGTAGTTAATCTCTTTATACCTCAGTTCCTTAATCTGTAGAATGGAAATAATAATGATATTTACTTCATGTGGATGTGTGCCCCAAATCCAGAAAAAGAATGGAGAAGGGATTACAGTGTGGCCATCCCTGGAAGGGGTGGAGGAAAATGATTTTTGACTCCTCCCCCCCATCTCCAGTGAGTGCTTGTGCTCTACAGTAAAAACTGAAGGAAAAAAAAAAGGTATTTACTTCATAAGGTTGTGAAGATTAGACGGGCCTGGCAGTTGGTAGATGCTGAGTAAACATTGGCCGTCATCCTGAGAGTGTGAGGGCTCTTTCTATTTGTTGACATACTTGAAAGGCCTTGACTGTGTGTCTTCTACCAGGGCTCTATTCTTTGTCATGTACATATAGCACCATGTATCAGCCTTTCCTAGAGAAAGATTAAAAGAATGAATTGAAAACTGTAAAAACTTGTCTTGAGAGAAGCTAATTTTTTTGGCAAGTCTATTCATTCCATCTGACCAACGAGTTGAGGGTGCATACTTTGAGTACTTCCTGAAGCTGGTTCTTCTTCTTTTAAAGTTTATTTACTGAGAGACAGAGAAAGGTGCATGCCCAAAAGGATGTTCACATTGCAATCCAGCCTCGTCTTAGCCTGGATCATGAGGATGTGTGGTACAGTGACACTCCAGGAAGCAAAGGAGGCCCTCCCATGTGGGTCCAGTTGTGCTACCACTTCACCAACTTTTGGCCCTGAAGTAGCATTCTGAAGATAATACTGGAAAGGCTTTGAATGTTGACATCATTGGTAAGTATATTGTTTCCCAGGATGACTAGAATTAACACAAAAATCCTATTAACTGGGTGTATTGTGATTAAAAGCAAAGCAAACAAACAAACAAAAAACCAAAACCAAACCAAAACAAAAACCTACATCAGAGGCGCCAAGGTGAAGTGCTCCTGGAAACAAACTGGTTTCAAAGTAGGATTAGCCGGTCACCCTGTTGTTTCCCCTCTTGTACATCCCCGGATGTCTATCAGAACAACGTTTCTTGTATTTAGTGGTTCACATTTTACCTCCCCAGTTGACTCTCTGGGAACAGGGGTCTGGGCTCGTTCATTTTTGAATACCCAACACCAAGCACTATGTCAGGCACTAGCCATTACACTTATTTAATGAATAAATTAATAAATGAAATTTGGGACCAGCAGTTGGCCTGATGGCTATGTCGCTGGACTTCCATGTGGTTGACTGAGGTTCGAGTCCTGAACCTGGTGGTTTAAACTTTCGCTGGCACGCGTAAGTGCGTGCCCAAGATCCTGAGAGGAGAATGGAGAAGGGATTGCGGTGTGGCCATCTCCCCGGAGGTGGGGGGGTGGGGGAGTGTGATTTCTCGCTTTCTGTCTCTCTTTCTGGCCAGCGCACGAGCCCTATAGCAAGAACCTCTCAAAAAAAAAAAAAAAATGAATTTCAGTTCTGGTACATTAAGCCCAAAGGTCTTCTTTTTCAAACAGTATGGTTGAGAGGCAGGAGGGAAAGTATCTGCTCTTACCACCGTGGAAAGCCAGGAGTTCCTAATTGCTGTGAGTGCAAGAAAAAAAGTTTGCTGCACAAACATCATGACGTTATAGCACGGTGCGTGCGGCACACCCTCGAGGCAGGAGCCGGTCCTTCCTAGGAGGCCTGCGGCACTCAGAACACGGACCGCTGCCAAGCCGGCTGAGCTCGCCGCGCACGCGCAGACCAGGAGGGCGCGCGCCTGCTCACTGCCCCTCCGCCCTGCAGGTGGCGCTGG